AAAGAAGAGGAAAAAAGAAAAAACAATTTAATAAAAATAAAGGAATAAGTTGGTAGTTAAAATAAGTGGAAAAATTTGTTACGGAATATCAGTTTTAAGCATTTTTTTTTTCTGATTTTCTCGACTGTTTATTTGTTTTTTGCAGTTTAAATTACAATTGCAGTATGGCATTTTGGCTTTAGCGCTTGATCACACATGGCTTTAAAAAATTACTCTATTACAGCATTCAGTTTAGTCTATATTCTATGCTGCAATTTTTTGAATAATCAGATTTTCTTGTTACATCTTAGTTTAGGTTTAAAACCAACTTCTAGTATCCCACATTCACACTGACGACTCGTAAATCGCCTGTTTAACTTAGGTGCGCTAAGCCGAAGAGATCTAAGTTTCGAGTTAATGTTCACTTTTGTTAACTGTTGCTGCAGTTATATGGAAACCATTTAAGGAAGATAAAAATTTGTTTTTTTCTAGCAAATATTTTTGTGCTTCTCTTATTTAAAGGTTTCATTTAAATTTGTGCAAACAAGTGGACGTATTTTCCAGTTTTATTTTTGTTGAAATATTTTTATTTGAAACATGTGAGAGCATTATTTACTGTCATAAAACTAACATATATATAAATATATAATTTAATGTATATATACAGTTTGCCTTATCGTATAATTGGAAATAAAGACGGAATTTATGAAGTGATGCGCCAGAAAAACCCAATATTGATAAAATATTTTTCTGACCAACTTTCTTTTTTTTTTTCAAAATTTTCATATCTTTACTAATCAGATGCGTATTTAAAAAAAAAAAAAAAAAAGAGAAAAAACATTTATATTTGTTTATTTTTTAATTTAATTGTTTGTCTTTATATGTATATTTCAAGCAGTAGCATCAACTGTCAAAAATAATTTGCAGTTTTAGATTTAAGAGGAGAGGAGAAGGGGCTGAGGAGGAGGAAGAATGGAGGGAGAAGTATATATTTGTTTAAAGTTTTTTAGGCAACTAATTTTAGGCTTTGCCAACTTTTATGTAATTTATTCTGTTTGGTTTTAGAATTCTTTGCTTTTTTTTTTTTGATTTCTGTTTTTTTTTCTTCTGTCTGGTTTTTTTTTTCAGACTAACACCTCTCCGATTTGTAAAGTTCAATTGCTATCCTCAAAAATTGAATATAATTGAACTTGTTAAAAGCTATCGGTTAAGAGAACAATAACAAAAAAAAAAAGCAAATGATTCGGACAAATTGTGACAAAAGGCAGAAGAAAAAAACAATTCTTTTTTAGGAAAAGATATTAAAAATTGGTTTAAAACTTTAAATAATACTTTACACTGTTTAAACTACCGATGTAACGGAGAGGTGTTTTTTTTTTGACACCGGCATCATGTTGATACATAGATTTTTAATCTTACTTTATTGTTGCTTGTTGTAGTTTGCTCCTTCAGCTTTCACTGCTTCTTCAAAGGCTTCCTATGTGCTGTTGAAATTTCTAGATTTTGCAGTTTAAGTAATACATAACCCGAATCAGCAAAGACATGAAATACTTTTTTTTTGCTTCTTTAATTTTCTGTTTTTTTTTTCTTCTGCTTTAGACAAAAAATTACAGTAAAGTATCATCGGTTTAAGAAGGAAATACAATTTGTTATGCTAATTTGGAACATCAAATTTATGGTCAACTGCAGCCAACACCTTTGATTTCTTAGACCTTTGTAATTTGCTGCTGCTGCTGCTGCTGTTGCTGCTGATAATTGCATCTGCTGTCGTTGTTTGACGAAGAAATATGAAAAATGGAACAAATATACTTCTGCTTCCTACAAAATTTATCTTCTTATGAACCTTTGTTTTTTTTATATGTTTGATATTCTTCTTTTTTTTTTACTTTCTTTTTTAGCTTGGAAATATGAAAAAAATGGATTGAAAAAAATTAAAGTTTTAATTAATTAAAGCATTGATTTTCGATGAAAAGTTTTGCTTTATTTTATTTTATTTTATCTTATTTTATTTTACTTTTTTTTTTGATGTTGTTTACAAAGGAGGGGGAACAGCAAAATATTTTAAGAATAATAATGATGAAAATTTTTAGAGGAAACAAGGATTAGAGAAAAATTAGAGAGGGGACAAAAAAAAAAGGCAAACAAAAGCTTTAGTGATATTTACTTTTTTTTTAAAATAAATATTTGAAAAACAGCTAAAGATCTGTTAAAAAATTATTATTATCAGTGAAATTACAACATTTTGGTGCACTTTAACACTTTTCTTCCTGTAACAACATTTTTTTTAATACTTTTCTCTATGATTATTCCCCATTAGTTGACTCTTTTACAATTCTGTAATTTACAGCGACAGTTAGGTAAGAACGTAAACAAAATAGGTGGTGTCAATGAAGCTTATAGAACTTGGATTATGGCCTACTGATGTATTGGGAATTTTGGTACTGATGTCATAGAAGACAAACACTTAGAAGTTTGATATAATAGACCTGTCTATAAAATTTCTATATTGGCCTTCATTTTAGCTTTAGTCAGCAAAGTTGTTCAATTCAACGAAAAAAAAAAAATGACTGCTCTTTTTTCTTTGCAATGAAGCAAAGTTCTGTTTATTTATTTATCAAACTATTTAAGGCTATTTGTAACAATTGCTAATTTCCTTTACAGCATAAAAATTAGTGTAATTTTTCTCCTGAAATCACAAAAAGCAGCGTATAGTAACCACCACCTTTGTCGACCAGAATTTTTTAGGCTGCAATTAAATTTTAGTGTATTGTATTTGAGCCATTTTGTCTTTGCTAATAATGGAAAATAAAATTTTGCTGGAAATAAAAAAATCTGAGTGCATCGTCAGTGGGATGTTTTTTTTTTTTTAAGTACAGAAAAAATACATTGATTTATAAAATTTCCAATTTACAAATATTTATTCCATTATGTGAAGATTTCAATATAGAACTGTCTTTTTTTGAATTGAACTAATGAGTGAAAAGTATCGACATTAGAATCATTAAATTACAATTTCTTTACGAGAGCTTTTTCAAATATATATTTCAGTAGAAACAGCAACTTTTTCTTCTAAGATGCCTATAATTAACTAACTTTTTTTCTGATAATGATAGTTTTGGTGATGGTAATTGTAATGGTAATGGTGACGGTGGTAGTAACGGTGATGGTAATGGTTGTGGTGAAAGATTTCTGTCTAAAATTTTTCAAGTGTCTCATCTGTCTGAAGCAGCAATCTTTTATGAATGTTATGACAATTTTTTCTTAATGTAATCTTTCTTCTTCCTTTCTCTGTATTTTCTTCTTCCATCTTTTTCCTTTTTGAAATTTGTTTTCAGGATTTTTGCTTGATGCTCTTTAAATGAGTATCAGAGAATCATAAAGACAAACAGGGAGACAAACAAACAAACAGATAAAACAATGACTTAATGAGAATGAACGGGAAATGTGTAGTTGGCTAAAACTGTCTGATAATGAACTAAGGAATTTGTCTTTCTACTGTATCCGTGTGCTGAGCATCCGCGGTCATCACAACCAACAACTTCACGATAGCGGACATCAGGTCTGGTACAGCGCTGACTACATTACTTCAGACGATTATCGACAGCAACAAGTTGGAGCTAATGCCTTCATAATTGTAATTTTGGCCTTATTTTCGTTGACCATATTTTTATTACTGTTTCGAACAATGAACACTGCGCAATCAACCGACAATCAGGTTAAATTTTTTCAACAACACTTTTCATCAAACCACTGATTTCCGTTGACACTTTTGCTTCGTACGTTGTTTGTTGCTGTTCTCTACTGAATGTTTGGTTAAACGGAAAAAGGGTGGAGAAGAGCAGGGAACAAGGGGATAAGCTTCTCTATTCTCTTCGTTTTTGCAAATGATCGCCAACTGAACATTCACTAATCAAAAAATCCTATTGCCTATTTTGTTTAATGTATGTAGACATTTATCACGTTTTCTCATCTCATTTTTCTTTATGTTTTTACAGCTTATTCTCTGTTGAACACGTGACTAACTTATTAATCGTTTAATATAATAACACGTTGATTTTCATATAACAGTTACTAGGTTACCAGCAAAAGAAAAAAATTAGAAAAATTAGAGAAAAAGAGAAAAAAGAAAAGTTTATTTTATCAAAAATAGTTATTTTTTGCAACAACATTTAGTTAATTGCAATGATTTTAGGTAAGTTCTTTAGAAGAACGTGTAATATTAACGCTAAAGTTAATAATAATGAATGTGATAATAATGGCCATAATAATAGCAAATTATAGTATAAGAATAATCAAATAGTAGTAGTGGTAATAGTAATAATAATCGTAATAACAATAATAGTAGGAATAGTAGTGTTAATAATAGCAATAACAGTAATAGTAATAATAATAATAATAATAGTAATAATAGTGGTTATATTGAAAATAATACCAACTCTAATATTCAGAATAATAATAGTGATAAAAATAATATTAATGTTAATATCAACAGCATTTAGGGGTATTAAAAAAAGAATAAATTTCAGCTAATTTTTTCCCATTTATATTTTCCTATTATTTGATTAGCAACAGTGAGTTCCGAAATTTTTTTGATATACGTTTATCTATTCATTCATCTATTCAATCGCCCATCTATCATCTATCTATCTACTCGTCTATTCAGATTACTCTCTGTCATTTACAGTCCTATGATAACTTGTACAAGTTTCTATTTGTTTGACGATCTGCCACAAATTTTCAACTAAGCACATCTTTCTTTTTGCAGGTAACAATAACGTTAAGAACGATGCGATCGCGTGTTGAATCTGAAGATAATGCTCGACGATTAAAGTTACTTCATGAAGCCAAGAGAAAAGCAGTTGGTTGGTTACAGGAACTCAAACAGGCATCAAAACGATCATCGAAAGCAAAAAATAAATTGGCTTCACAGGAAGGTTAAACTGCTTTTGTCTACAATCATTTTACTTTTTTAACTGTTCAAAAACAAAGTTAAAAAGAACATTTAATTTAAGAAAGCCCAGGAGATTCTACATTGTAGAAACTAACCAACTTATATGCAAGAGTTAGGGCTGTTAAAATTACCATACAACTCTGAAATTAAATTCGAGAGATTGCAATTTGCAAATTACTTTAGGATATTCAAAACTGGAAAGTTTTAGATTCTCTCTAGAAATTGGATGTTATATTTTCTCTAACTTAGCACTTAGTGATAAATTACTGAAAAAAAAAAATTGAGATGATGACCTTCAGTCAACCTTCTGCAGATGCAACACCGTCAAGTAGTGCTAGCGGTGGTTGTGCGGCTCCAGTGGAAACTGAAAAGCCGCCAGTGCAACATACAGTTCTTCCGACGATCATCATAACCGCCGTATCAACGCCAACAGAACCATGTCCCTCGATAAACACATGTTCCAAGTCAGTAAATCTTTTTTAGGACTTTTTTTGAAGCCCAACGTCTCTCTTGTTGTAGACGATATATGATCATATCTAGTTAGTTTTGTCATACTAGTTTTACATATCGTCGGTCTGTTGACGGAGCAATAGAGGTGCTGTTTGTCACTGAAAAAGTAATGCTTTTTAGAGTGTAAATTTTTCAAGATTTTTTCTTTTGAAAATCAAGTTCTGCAACTTCTTTTTTCTTAAAGTCCTTCTTTTTTTATTTTAGGCTACTAACACTATGTGAGCAAAGAGAATAAATCATAAAAATAAAAAACAGACAAATGTCTTTTCATGATGTATAGATATAACAAAAATTTTGCGAATCAAATGTCATTCTTTTTGTCTTAGTGAGTGAGTGACTGGGATGAAAAACCAAATTGACAAACAACGTACGCATCCAAAATACATATCCACCACGATCCAGGCATACACGCTATTCCCAAACCGTCCGTCCGTCCGTTCTTTGTTCTTCATTTTTTCGGCTTACAGAGTCGGGAAAGTGCATTTGTTTTGATGGAGATATTGACGGAAGGGAAGCAAAAAAAAAAAAAAAAAAAGGAAAAAAACTATAAATTTTTCTGCCATTTTTTTAGTGAGTGAAAAAAAAAGGCAAAATCAAGCGTATTAATAACTTTTTGAATATTTTTTTGGTAAGCGCATAAATTAGTTTTAATAAATTTATCCAGCTTTTCAAACTGATTTTGTAATGCGATGGTACGTTTGAGAAATCCTTACAAATAAGTTAGATATTTCTGAAGTTGACAGTGAAAAAAGTAACAACGGTAAAAAAAAGTTTAGCTAGCGAAACGGAATAAAATATTTTCGTTTTTGCTTTAGTTATTTTACTTTCTTTTTTTTTTTTTTTTTCTGGAACATATCGTTAATATTAGCGAACGGCAGAGTAAATAGAAGGTTTTTTTTGTTTTGAAATAGTTTTAAGAAAAAAACATTGGTTTTATTTGTTATATTGAAGCACTATAAGAATTTTTTT